CTATATATATATATATATATATATATATATATATATATACATGCATATATATATTATAATATAATAAGAGATAATAAAAATGCATAATTTCACTGGATAGTCTAATAATTGTAACCTGATATTTGATTTCCATAACCCGAAGGCCTTTTTAGTCCTGTTGTATATAATGTTCGATGTTCTTTGTTGGAAATTTAAGATGAAATAACATGCTGAGGGAATTTGTCAACTGTTTGTGTTACAGTCGCTTTTGGACGAACCGAATCCTAATTCGCCAGCCAACTCTTTAGCGGCGCAATTGTATCAAGAAAATAAACGGGAGTATGAGAAGCGAGTGGCTACCGTAGTCGAACAGTCTTGGCTGAATTTCCAAGAGAGTCACACGGAGGATCCTCGCTGACATTAAGCATCCTGCTTTTCACGACGCGTAAGAGATCTCTGCCGCCAGCTTCTCTCTCTTTAATATAAAACTTGTCCCCGTATTATATACGTAATGGTAATTCGGTCGACACATTCTTCGTCGGAGCTGTATATGTAATATCCTTCGATATTTCATGAACATTCCGCGTGTTGATTCACAGTCTATAGAACACGATGAGAGGAATTCGCACGGCTCTCACTCTGTTGCAAAAACATAGAAAAAAAAAGATAGAAAACCGGAATGATGTAAAGTTGCACTGTTAACTTATGTGATCTTTTTACTTATAAGTACAATATATATTATCTTGCTCTTATAACTAGACATTAGGTATCCCTTGTGCAAAGGATAAAAAAATAATGTCCGTACAATGTTTCGCCATACATTAATCTTGCAGGCAAATTGACTTACTATTTTACAAATGTAGACGAGCTTGAAGAAAATACATTTATGCTAAAGGATATGAAAGTTTATAAGTCGCTTCTGGAAAGTCTACTTTCACCATGTAACGGCGCAAAACATAAGAAAATAGTGTGATTATTTCTCGTTTTCGACTTGGTATTTATCATTAGAAAGTCACGCTTGTATTAGATTGTAAATGAATGTCATATATTGGAGTATAGTATTGAATTATATAATAAATTTTGCAAGAAATTACAATGTGTTTATAAATCCTTTACTATTTTTTAACGAGTTAATAGATGTTCATGCTTAACGTAAGAAATACTTTATATCCAATATAATTTTTTCATAGAAACATATAAATTTTTCAACAAAGAGCTTGAAATAAAAATTATTACTATTACAACTATTATATTATTTATATATTTTGATCTTTCACATTTATATTATCATGACTTTCCAATTAACACTTTCATGGGATTCTTCAATCATCCAATTAATTTATAATTATTTACATATTGTATTTTACTTTTCATTACATTTACTTTAATTCATGTATGTGTATATATATATATATATATATATATATATATGTATATATAAAATATAAACATACATATGTGTAAATTGTATGCTTTTTGAACTTCTGCAGATATTTTGCTCAGTATTTGAACATTCTCTTCTAATAAATGAATATATATTAATATATATTCATTATATATTAATATATATATTATAAGACATCATATCATATAATATCATAATTTACATGAACCCAAAGAAATGCATTTGGATGTAAATGTGATTCATTTAATATTGATAGCAATTATATGTACAATTGTAAATATCACATATACATTTAGTTTTTACAATTTATATGCAAAGAAATATCGCTCTCTAAATAAAATCCTACAAGAAAAGAAGAAGTTACAATTTCAGAAAAAAAAGTGGAAAAATATAATTTAAGATTTTCGTAGATATGATCTCAAGTTCCATGTTGAAAATTAAAATCTGTTCTACAAAAATCTCGATTAAGTCCAATTAAGTTTTCCGAGATTTTTAAGTTTTTCGCTGCCGTGCTCTTGCTATGATTTCTCTTCTTTTTCTTTATTATATCTTTCCAATTCTTTGAGAAATTGTGCCTTAGGTTTCATGACATTAGGTCGATCACCACGACACTTGGGACAGAACCATTTGCCTTTGGGTTTTGTCGATAGAGAAACGCAAGAAAAATGGAACCATTCTATGGGACACAAATCGTTGTCACAGAGAATCATTTCGCCATAAGATATCTGATCACACAGACAATAAGTCGGTTCATCAGGATCAATAGCAAGATCATCTTCTGGTGGTGGCGGTGTATCCTCACGATGTTGATTTTGTTGATTGCCTTGCCGAGATTTTCGCTTCTTCTTTTTACCGGTAGTAGCAGCTGTCGTCTTCTTCTGATTTCCATTACTCGTATTTGATAACGCCGAAGATCTCGTTTCTGCCATTCCAACTATCATGTCCATGGAATGTGTCGATTCTATCAAAGCTTCAGTTCTCGTTCTTCTCGCACGTTTTGGTTGACGTTCTGCACTGTTCGCATGACTTGCATTATTCGAATTACTATTCAAATTTGATTCACGGATTGATTCAGAACTTTCCTGTTCCTTTCCAAAATCTAAAAAATGATTAAAAATTAATATATTAGAATTATCCTCGAGTATCGTATTTATCAAATTGAAAAATATATAAAATACCATACCTAGATTTCGGTAATCTAAATCTAGCTGTCTAGATTTGTTTTCTATAAGATCCTGTACTTGTTGAACAATCTGTAACTTTTCATCTCCTATTTCCTGTGCTGCAATTAAGGCTTGCTGTACTCTTAACAGTGCTCTCCTTTTAACTACAGGATCCGTATCAATCCTCAATGTTTCTTGATGCTGATCTACTTCACGTAGATATGCTATAGAATAAAACAATATAAATAACTGCAATTCATAATTTTAACAATCATTCTTATAAAAAGCTCATCAAACTCATGAGAAAAGCAATACAATCTTTTTATTTCTCTTATCAAAAGATTCACAAATCTATTCACAAATCTTGAGACTATCATTGACGATATGTTACTTTTCTCATAAAATCAAATTTAAACAACAAGAATATGTTTAAAAAACTGTTCAAAGAAAATTTTTTTTTTTATTATAAGCATTATCATAAATTAAATCCATTTCGTACCAAATTATCAAAAACCGCTATTGAAATATTGTTACCCACAAGTAATCCAATACGCGAGGTGTATCATTGGAAAAAAAAGCCACGCTATCAGAAAAATAGAAAATAGCATTGTGTTCGGAGAAGTGCCAGGAAGCACTCGCAATCGAGATCGGAAGAATGCCGGGAATGTGATCGAAATTACTTTGACAAGTGGCATCCAGCTCGCGTAGACGAGAAACATGTCTCTGCAGATCGTTCGGCAGATTTTCCACACAGTCCAGGTAGTTCTCGATGTACGTCGCCGAATAGAGTGCCTCAACCACCGCCTGATTCAACATTGTCACGCTGTTGTTCCTCTTTCTCTTTCTTTCACTTTGGAGCGTCCCACGCGCAACGACAACGCACGGTAAGATCGTTGGTAATCGGCTACTGTTGTGATTCTTCGCACCATTTATATAGACTACACGATATACACGGTAGTGTGTGCGTAACGAATTAATCTTTACCTCTGATTATTCGCGCGGAATAGACGACGCGCGCGGCAGAACGAGAAATTCCTCTAGAGTCACCCGCGCGCTACCTACACAGTTACGAGAACAAAATGGACGATCATGGATGATGCGCGCAGTTTGATTTTTATCTATTACAAAAAAAAAAATTCCTTCTGATTGCATTTGATATATTCCCTTGTTCTAGAATTATTTCGCAATCATATTAAATGAAAAACATTCTATCTGTAAAAAATAAACTTTTATTTAAATAATCTGAATTCATATCTTTTTAATATTCATTTTAGGAAAAAAAATTAAAACTCTATTAAAAATAAGACTTATGAATTTGAATTTCTACTTTTCGAAATTAAGAATTAATTAATTGGAAAATTCATGAACGTATTTCTACTTTCCCTTAATTATCTTGCTTTGGAAATGATGGAGTGATTAATTCTGAAAATATTTCAACGTTTATCTAAAATTCGATTTCTGTTCAGTTTTCGATTGGAAGATGAAAATAAAATAAGAGAATTTTAGAAATTTTAAAAATCATTCAAAATTTTTTAAGGAATCAATTTTGTAGTGCGAAATTTATCAAAATTTGCACGATTACTAATTATTAATTATTAATCACTTTCGTATGTTAAGTGCAATTTAATCGCTACACTGACTAGCGATCTGACGTCATCGTGATCGCGGCGCGGGTGGCCAATCGCGCGTCGCGACAGCATTTAATTTCCGAACGACAGAGGGGAGAGTCCTCGATCATCCGGCAGTCCGGTAGCACCGCAAAATCTTCGCGAATCTCGGTTCATCCCACATCCTCAGCAGCCGATCTCACCGCCGAAATGACGTCGACCAACACATACCAAGGTCTCGCCGATAGCAGTCGCAAATCCAGCAAGTAAGTAACACGGGAGTATTTTTTTTTGTGCTATCTTCTCGCCGTTCGTGCCGGCAAATCACCCTGTATCACCACCACCACCCGTCGCCGGTTGACACTCGAAAAAAAGATGCACTCGCTCTACGGGAAACGAGCGACGTATCGACTTTCATTGGCGCCTGCTGACTTTATTTAAATAACAATACACGCATGAGTCGGCATCAACAAGTTTTCCTTGCGGCCACTTGTATTTATCTTTTTTTTTTAGTAACATCCGAGCGACGCTTGACACCAGAATTATGCGAGTGTAAAATATTCTGCATGTTTGTTGATTTTAATTTTTTGAGATTTTGATTCGAAATATTGATAATTTTATTTTGAATTGATTCTTTCTGAATCGATTCTTCTTGGGGATTCTTCTAATGTTTTTCCTTTCATTAAAATTTTGTATTTTTTATCTATAACGATTTAAATCTATTTCTCTCATGTCTTTTTGATTATAGAATTTGATTATAAATATTCCTTATTTTAAATTCCATTTACGTGTTATCGATAAATTTGTGAAGAAGTTCGCGAAGTCAACGATAGATCGCGTGCTGTGTATTAAAAGACGCGAGCGCGTCTATTCTAAAAATATTATATTTGCAACGTGATATAAAAATAAATATTTAAATTGTTCAATTAATCAATTTTAATCAATTTTCAAAACAATTAATACTAATAATAAAAGGTAAAATTTCTATATCGTAATAATTTAATACTCAATGTTGAATATAAGAATCTTGCAAAAAAAATCTGAAAGAAAATCATAAATTTAAATAATAGTACCTTGAAATGAATGATAGTACTTTGCTAATCGTGTTTAAAAGATCATTTGTCATTTTGAAAATTAATCTTCTAACTTCAATTTTCTATCATGCTTGAAACAAATTTGTATAACGTGTAACTAGGAAATCTTAATCCCAGAATATAAATCAACGATTAATTTTCAAATTTTTAATACTTTATTATAAAAATCAGACTTCTAATTTCTATTTATATTACCTATCAAATCAAATTTGACTATTAAAAAAATAATACAGCAATAAAATATTAAGCTAAATATGATAAAAATAAAATGAGACATAAAAATATAAATATGAATATATCACTTCAAAATTACATAACTTTATAGAAGATTAAAAACATTTCGCTATTTCGGTCGAGAAAAAAATCAATCGCTGCTCGGTCTAAGAACTTGTCAACATTAAGGTCGTTCGTTCTAGAACAGCTTGTCCTATTGTTTGTAGAAGCAGAATGCGCCGAAGATATATTGGCTGTAAAAATTTTTCTCGGGTTCGCGCAAACGTGGTTCTACGCCATTAAACGGGACAGGTATCGTATATTTAAGCGCGTTTAAAGCGAGTGTTAAGGAAGTCCTGTGGTTTCGCACGAAACAGGATGATGAGAAAGAACGAGAGAGAAAGAAAGAGATACTCGGCGCGGGACTTTGTGAAGTCGGACATTTCGTCGGTATTATTTTGTAAAGAAGCTGTGCTAGAAAACACTGGTGGTTTACCACCAGTATCGCCTAATCATCGCTGGTGCACGCTCGCAATCAACGAGTACTATACAGGATGTTTCAAAGGAGATCAATCATTCGACAAGTGATTAAGAATCCAAAAACAAGAAAAAAAGTTGGAACATAGATTCGGAAATGTGTTGTTTTGGAATTGTCGCCATTTTTATATTGAACTTTTAAATTGCTTTGCTTTCGAATTTTTTTGTCAAAATTAAAGGAAGACGTGATCCTTATAAGTTTTATAATGTAATCAAAGTTAAATAAAAATCGCGGATTATTGTAGCACTACACAGAATACACCACGCGAAGATACAGTTCGCTTAGCATCTCTTGACAGAAATCAAGATTCCACAGTTGTACATCCTTAATAAAGCAGTTAAAGCATGCTAAAGCTTATAAAATTCATAAAGATCATCTCTTCTTTCAGTTTTGACAAAAAAATTTGAAAGCAAAGCAATTTCAAATTTCAATGTGAAAATGACGATAACTCGAAAACAACAGCATTTTCGGGCCTATATTCATATTAACTTTCTTTCTTATTTTTGGGTCTTCATTCATTTCCCGAGTGATTGACCTTGACTTACGGAACATCCTGTAGGTACATTCAGTCGCGTGTACACATGTGCACACGGTCTCAATGTGCGGTATCTCGAAACGATTAAACTAACATTCCGTCAAGTCTGACATGACACGGTTGATACACACATATTGAATTGCCGTATATCATACAAGGTATATCCCATCCGGTGATACAAAATATGATACACGGTAATTCGGTAACATAATATATAATTAGCGACAGCGCGGTCTGCGCTAAATTTGAGTCCGGTGTTACGTCCGTCGCATCCGTTCGTCGTTTTTAACATTGCAGTCTTCACATATCGATGTGCTTCGGGAAAAAAAAGCACTTGACTTGGTAGAAATGAACCTTCCATTTATGTTTAGATCTAAGTAATAGTACTGGCGTAATTAAAAGAAACGCGGGCGAACGACGGCGCACCGCGTCGCGGTTGCTCCTTTCGTTTCTTCATCCCTTCGTTTCATTTTATTTAGATTTCCGTTACGTGCACGCATACATTACAACCCGCAGAGTTTCCCTCGTCAATATTATCGCGTCCTGGTTTGCGTAATTACGCGTTACTCGAGCTACGATGATTGGACAAGACCTCGAACCTCGTGTCCCGACGTGTCGCAGCCTTTTTTTTTCAGGGCGATAACATATGGCTTATTATTTTGTATCGGATACGTATATGAAAGGGGAACATTAATGGCGTGTTGTTGCTTGTAAAGACCATGGGCGCCATGGGTACACGCCCAATGCGAACGACGCCTACAATATCGAGGGCCAAGTCCTGCTGTCACACACGACTGAACGAATACTCATAAATACGCGTGATATTGAATTAATAATGAGAATGTTGAAGGGAGTTTCAAGAGTTTCCAGGGTTTCTATAATTCTTAGTAATTTCTGTTAATCTATCACTTTTTAATATTCAAGGTGAATTCAGCCATATCTGGTACAGCATGCATGAATAATTCGATAAAAAAATTCAGTTTTTTTTTACTCGCGCTTTGATTTTAATTCAATTTCATATTGTTTGCGATATAAAAATTATGCGCGATACTCGACATTTAAATATTGTGAAACCTGCGATTTCCTGCGATGTAGCATTCTGCATAAATAAATCGATTTAATTCCTATTCATAGACACGGAAATCATCATCTGTGATAATGAACTATGAAGCGATTTTTTTTTTCCCTGTCTACTTGAGAATCCCTAGACTTTAACGATGCGTTTTTCTGAAGTGGCTTATTCGAATGCATCGAACGCATCCGCGGAACGCCGCCGCGTAAGCGAGTAATACAAGCTCCAAGCTTGTGACTCATCGCGGCTGCTAGCGTGCCACATAGAGGCGTATACATTTAGGTCCCCGAAGTAATTGCATAGGTACACGACGTTTCTGCCTACCCTTTGTTCGCTGTCCTTCGTTCAGCCGGTCATCTTCGTTGTCTTCCTCTCTTTCCCTCCCCGTTGTACACCTCTCTCTTTATTTCCCGACGACTCGTCGCTGCACGCCGCGCGTGCAGGAAAGGCTTCCACGTACACGCGTACGTACACGTGGGGATGAGGAAATGACGCTGGCAATTTGCGGCGCGACGCCCGCGAATTCGTGGAATTCCACGATCTCGCGGTCTACTCGTTCGCTGGCCGCCTATAAAAAAAGACGTTTTGTTCATTATTTTATACAACTTGACGTGAAAGATATTCACAAAATTGCAACAATTGGCATAAATTCTTTTGGCATATCTGGTACATTTGTCTCTCCTATCAAAAATATTTAATTATATATGATATCTTAAAGATTGTTCATATCTCTTAAAGTTATGTTTTAGCGATTTTAATTAGCAGCGGATCCAATCATATTAATTCACGATTGAATCCACTGCAATATTACTACGTTATTTTTTTTTGTTTTGGAAAAAAAGTGCATCGTAACTTTATCATAAAGAATATTAATTCGTTATCATTTGATTGTATAAATGGATCGAACAAAATCGCGGAGTAAACATTTAGTATGCGATCACGAAGCGACGAAACATTAACGAAGTAGACTGACCACTCCGAAAGTGGGTTGAACGTATTTTTAAGTAACCGCGAGATTTTGCATTGAAAAGGAAGAAGAGGAACACGGCGACACGGTCGGTAAGATAAATATAACCGCTGTCGCTGGCCCGGTTTTAGCGTGCATTCCCAGGAGAAAATCATCCGGTGTCCGTGACTGACGACGAGCCTAAGGGCAGAGCCTCGTAGCTATTTGTTGGTTGACCTGTGTAAGGGCCTAAGGCCCGTCGTATACTCCGGCTCCCGCAAAGTTGCATCCGTTGCGACGCACCTGCCTCGGTTTATTCGCACGCAACTTCATTCTTTGTATTAACATTTTTTTATGAATAATTCTTTTTCCTTTCTTGCCACATATCTCTGTCTAAAATATGAAAAGAAAAAAGCTTATTTATAAATTAATTTATTTTTATATATCTATATTAATGAATTATATTAATAATAGATAGTAACTTTACAGATTTTTAAAAATTGTATTGCGCGCATATATTATTTCTTTTACACGCGATATAAAAAAATCTTTTTATTTATATGTACCAACTCGAATCAACGAAAGTGTGTTTCTACAATCCGCAAATAGAAAATATTCGTTGCGTTGTTTTCGGCCGAGGGGGTTCCCCGAATCCCAAACTCCATGCCATAACCGCAGGACTTAAGGCCCCGTGCACAGTTGCGCATGTTGCACCGCGCCGCCTCTCCCCTCCTTCTCTCATTCCTTTTCTCTCTCTCTTGCATATTCGCTTCGAAGTCGTCGGCCGTTCGCGCGCAACTTCGCGCCGCACCTCGCCGCCGATCCGCCATCAGTATTTCGCGATCGTGCGCAACCAGCAGCGGCCGCCGATTAACCGAGCGTAGCATTCACCGTCTGTGCGCGCGCGCTCTCAAGCGAGTCTCTACTTCTCCGTCTTCTTTCTCTCTCTCTCTCTCTCTCTCTCTCTCTCGCGCGCGCGCGCGCACGCACGAGAGTTTCTCGACTTTTTCGGAGGTGGCGCCTCCACTTCGCGCTCGCGGCGCACACCGTCTAGCGTCTTTTCTTCCCGCGGGGCCTTTCGCGCCCTCTCGCTTTCACCCGTGCTCCGTCTCTCGCTCTGTCCTCGCCTCGCTTTCCACCCCGTGGCCCCCGTGCTCGTGCGACGTGCCGAATCCGCACGAACGAACGGAAAGACTGCTAGAGCGTCGCGCGTGACCCAACTTGACCCGCGTCATTCGCGCTCGCGCGTGTGCCGGTACGAATTTTGTTGCGTGTCCGCGCTTTCCTCGCGAGGACGGTTTGCACGCGCGACAGTTCTCCGCTTCGGTGTGCTTCGAGGTTACCGAGTGGACAGCAGTTACTACACGGGAAAGAAAGATGTGGGCCGGTCAAGACGACACGCAGAGATTCAAGACCAGGTGCGTTCTTCTTCGAATTCATGCACGTCTACTTGCACGCACGCACGCGCGCACTTATGCTCGTTTTTTTTCATTTCATTTCCTCGATTTTCTCTCTTTTTGACAACTGTTGCCCGACATAATCTAGCGGTTGTGCCATGGCTTTCCTTTCCTTTACGCGACCGGTTCGAACTTGATGCGATAGATCGAGATAGATGAGTTAAAGGATTATTCTAAAAGTGCGCTTTAAAGCTCCGGCACCAATAAAAATTTTCAGATAATAATGAATTTTTAAAGAGTGCAACAGAGTGCAACTTTTATAAATTGAAGTTTCATAATATTTTATAAAATATTTAGAGTTATACCATGAAAAGAATTTTTTTTGGTTAAATAATTCGTTGAATTGTCAAATTCAGTTTTAAAATTAAATATATTCTATATAATATATTCTTTTAATATAGGACCGTTTGTCGCTTTGTTGTATTCAACAAAGGGTACGCGACATGCGCGTGCAGGTCTCGTTTCGATCCTTCCTTTTCTATTTTTTCTCTCTATCTTTCTCCTTGCGTAAACTGCATCGATCTACAATGTATTTTTGAAACAATCGGATTGCAATTTTTATAATACAATATGTAATGTTTCTTGGAAAAAAAATTGTTCAATTTTTACAATTGTCATGATTCATATCGCATGAATCATGTATCAAAATACATACACTTATATCGAACGTTTACGAAGGTCAAGTGCGATACTTATCATTGTATAAATATATACATACAGTGTCTTTTTATTTGTAATTAGATAAGGATAGAGGTAAGAATATTAATATACTTTAGATTACTTTAGATTAATATACTTTAGAAAAATTATAAAATTATGTATAAAAATAATCTAAGCTATGTTGTTAACCAAAAATTTATATTAGAATGTCATTATTAATTTAAGATTTGATAACGCAAATGTGTCGCTACTTACTTCGCGAATCTTTTATACATAAAATCGAAATTTTAATCAACGCATAATCAAGAATGCTTAAGCATAGTTAAGTATTTTTAATTAAATATTTTTAATATATATATTTATATATATTTATATATTTTATATATCATATTATATTTATATATTTTAAATCTCAAGATCACGATAATTAAGCGTTTTTTTTTTTTTTTTAATTCGGAGACCGTGCTTTATCTCCAAAATCATTAATTAAATATATTCCATAATCCAATTATAATGAAGTGCCTTATAAGCCTAACAAAGAGAGGCTTGTAAGGCTTGGCAATTGTCGCACTTAATGACGGAAGCGGAGGGGACACTCGCGAGATTCTCTCAGAGAGAGACAAATACCTCGGCCGATTAAGGGCGTCAAGGCGAACGGGAATCGACTACCAATCCAGTTTCTATTTCTGCGAGACGCCCGTGAAACGAGAAAGGCAGTCAGTCGTGCCGTTCGTAGGTACGTAGCCGTACAAAGGTTAATGCCGGCGCAATGAGAGCAACATGAGACATTCGCCAGACGTGTTTCCACCATATCGTACAAGTCACGCCACGCTAAGAGGACATGCTACATCGAACATCATGAATCTCGATTGGTGGAAATTACAGCGTCTTCCGCACCTGCTCGCCCGAGCGTGTAGCGCAGCGCATGCGACTAATCCGGAAATCGAGATAAACCAGACTGTGCGTGATATATCGGTGTCTCCAGTTTTTGTATGCGTTTTCGCGAACGATGAATCAGGATCTTTTATCAATTACGAACGAATAAATTGAAATGGCAATGGTTGCAAAAAGTAGTTATATCTTTTTTATATAAAAGATAAATTTGCTATTACATATTTAATAATGGTGAATATAAATAATCGTGAAAGTTAATGATTTTAAGATTTTATATTCTTTTAAGAATTTTAAGAACAGAACGATGGATCTGACAATTTTATTGCGCGTTTATTTCTTTGATGGAAACAAATAATATTTTTAAAGTCCTGACGCATCGAGCATATGACTCGGATTGCTTTCTTGATAAGATATAGTGATAATGCGCATACCAGTAGATAACGATATGGCTCTTCGAAAGATAGAATTCGAGAGAAATAAACATCTCTATGAAGACGGAAATAATGAAAATTATCATAGTTCCATCAATCGAATGAATGCTATATTTATCGACATTCTCGCGAGTCACGTAACAATTCAAGAGTAACAGATCCTTACTCATCTTCTTTATTGAGCGATGTCACGCGAGTGTTGTTGAAATAAACAATCACAAAATAAGATATACTAAGAATCCTAGGATATACTAGGAATAAGGATTAACGCGCATTTTGATGCTCGTCGACCGTTTTCGTGGGGAAGAAAAACTCAAAGTCCGCAACTACTCAAAGTCCGCACGGCCAATGACTCCGACTTGCGTGTTTCATTGGCTGACTCGTTGTCGTTTCCTCCCGTCTTAAGTACAACGTCTAATTGCTAACAATTTTGAAACGAGGATTGCTTGAATCGCCTCGAGAGCATTATCGTGGACAATGAGTCGAGGTTGGGCCGCGTGGGCGTTTCGCGTGAATCTCTTTCCGCAGGGTATATACATTCGACTGTCTTATCAAACCTGTCGGAAATGTCATGCGATATGAAAAATCCTTGTTGCACATTCGAGATAATTCGAGTTAATATTTTAAACGTGACAAAAAAATATAAAAGGTATATTTCTTTTTTTCGTTTGCGGTAATTGATGTAAAAAGACTATATTTTCAGATTTCTTTAAAAAAAATGTAAAGGATAATTTTATATATGCGATGATCAACAACGCATTGTTCTTGTATCTTTAAAATTTTGTCCCTTTTTTAAATTTCGAATATTAAGAAAAATATCTTTTTTATGAAATTTTGTTTAAACTCTTTAAACATCTAATTAGTAGCCTGTAATTAATAATGATAAAAAGTTCCTTTTCTATTGTATGTAAATGAGACAAGATAAACTGTGCAACCATCATATCTGTGAGGTTACTTAAATAGAAATGTTCGTTTTATAATAGTAATTTTATTGATCAAACATATTAATTGATTCCAGTGATTATTGAAATGTGATAATTGAAGGCACTCTCAACTATATCTCTTCTCGGATGTGCGAATAATTAGCGCGAGACATGACAGTGTCTCTTGATACTTTCATCCAGCTTGATGCGACGCGACGCGACGCGACGCGATGCGACGCAACGCGATGCGACGCAACGCGATGCGTACGTGCGTATGTGCGTGCGTGCGTGCGTGCGTGCGTGCGTGCGTGCGTGCGTGCGTGCGTGTGTGCGTGCGTGAATACGCATCGTATGTATAATATATCCTTGTTCGCTCGCTCGCTCGCTCGCTCTCGCGCGAAGTGCAGTACAAACGCGGGCGCAGTGCACCGTCATCGGTGTCCTGTTGCAGTGGGAACGTCGCTTTTGCTCGTGTACAACTCGTTTGACCGATCCTCCCGTGTACGTTCCGGTACTCTCATTCGACCGGTTTTAAAAGCTCCGCGTCGTAAGCGGCACGAATCGCTCCGTAATTTTTTTCAAACGCGCGATATTCTTGCCCCGAATTAAATAGCGAAAGAGAAAACAATTTGGTGTAATATCCACATCATATCGATTTCTATTTGCTTGAAATAAGAAAGAGATATATTTGCCGGCGATATCGTCGCTTTTTCATAACCCATGCGAACTCATGTTCACAATTTTTCCTTGTTACAAGCTTAAAATGCGTTATAATGAAATTTCAATAAGGCGTTTATCACTTGGCGTGCTAACGTTTAATATGTATGCCCTGATAACTTCCTGTTGGTAGCGTACGCATTATTAAATTTTTATGCGACGAGCGTGCACTGACATGCGTTCCGTAATACACGCAAGAAATGCGAGATGCGTTTGTAATACGCACAAGAAACGAGTACACGCCGCTGACAGCTTAATAGTATCCCGCCGCTTTCGATAAGAGAGAGAGAGAGAGAGAGAGAGAGGAAGAGAGAGAAAAATGGCTTATTAAAACCTTTTCATAGTCATTACATAAATGAGTCTGACATTATTGCATGCCATATGTGCATCTAATGAGGCCGTTAAATTATTTAGAGAATGTCCGGCAAAGAGCGCGTATCCATAAGTGTAACGTGTAACGTCTCACATCCAGATGTGTTTTCATCTTACAATAATATTGTTTAGTAGACGCACGATATTTTAATCAGACTACGGTTATGAGATTTTATATTCATGCATAAGTAACGTTTAGCATCAAGAGCGTTAAAAAGGGATAGCCGATGGAGTCTACAAAGTTAAGAAAATAGGAAAGCAGTCGTGGGAGAAAGAGGAAGGCGAAATGAAGGATGACATCTTTGCTGTTAGCCATTAACCGGAAAGGCGGAAATTGCGCGAAGAGTGCATTCGGTTGTAGAATTAAAATCGCGCGATTATTCCCCTTTCTATCTACAAACATGTAATATACATCAGGATTGCTTTGTCTTGTATACGGAATCCGATGGAATTGACAAAAAATCTCAAACTTCCTTTGATATCTCGGGCATCCGTGGTCGACACACACACACACACACATACACACACACACACACACCATACATACATACACGCACGCACCGAGCACCTTCATCCTGCTGATCGGGCTAGTTAACGCCTCGCGCGCTCGAGGCGTCGTTTTATAGAACGCATTGCTCGCAGCGAGTCCATTAATCTCGCGCGGGCAGAAGGGATGTTTATCTCGGCTCATTGTTGATAGTCGCGCATGTGCAACATATGCGCGGCCGCTCGCGAAAGCGCATCGTGGTGTGCGCACGCGAAGGAAATCATTTGCCCGGGGAAATTTACGGTTGATCGTGCGATTACGTGCTAACGTGCGCGTTCCGGCGGAATCCCGCGAGCGGGATATTATTGCACATCCCGCGAGCGGAACTCGCACGCACGCCTCTGCTGCACATTTTCCCGCGGAATGCGAGAAAAGCGCGTCTCCGTCCTGCCGTCTGCCGATAGGCAAAGCGTGAAA